TTATATATATACATATAAAAATATAAATATTATAAAAGAAAATTGTGTTCGCGTGTGTGTATATGTATATCTATATATATATGCACACACACGCACACACAATAGAATAATGCATATTTCGCGATTACTTGTTGATTATTATGTATCTGAGCTAGTGTTAGGGCACTATCTTTTTAATCGATACAAAGCTGGGCAAAAAAGAAAAAGAGTTGCATTAATAGAGTTAAACGAAGAGATGCTTGTATACATTTGTGTCGTATCGGAGAACAAAAATGAGAAAAGAAAAATTCTATATTGTAACGCGACGAAGGACGAAGAAACTGTAGCGTGAACGAGATGTATCTGTGTATGAACAGACGAGCTTTTGTTTCGTCTTTGAACATCGAATACCGCGCCTTTTAGACAAGAAGAAAAAAAGACAAAAGAGGAAAGATAGGAAAGTGTAAAAAGCAGATTTAAAAATGTTGCATTTCCTGCGCACACTGGTGTTCCTACGAAGGTAAAAAAAGACTTTCCTAATCGTTCGCGTTTGGAATGGTAATAATGAGAGTAGTTTTCTTTGTTTCTCTCTCTTCTTCTTCTTCTTCTTTTTCCACTTTTCGTTACTTTTTCTACTGAACTCTTTCTATTCGAGAGATGACGACATACACACTCTCTCTCTCTCGATATACGATGTGTGACGAAAGTGCTCGCGAAATATTCCATTTCATCTGTGAACATATTTCGATACATGCTGTTTGCACATATATTCTCTTCTATGTATGTGTGAGACGTGATACGAAACTAAAGCTGAAGTTCGGACAAAGCGTTATTATAATCGCGGTTAAAAAAAATAAAGAAATAAAATGATAATATGGGATACGAGAAACGGGGAGACTTGACTGTGATAGTAGGATCAAGGATCGCATTTTGTTAAAACACGACCGCGTTTAGCAGATTCGTCGTGCTTTTTGCCCCCTTGAAAGTGTATAAAAAATAAAAAAAGAAATAAATGATGATGATACAAGAGAGGTTATTACGATCGGACCAAAAATCGCGTAAACGCGGTCGTCTTTGCGCGAGATCGCGTGGAATCTAAAGAGAAGTGCTGTTACATTATTTAGCTAATATTTATAAAATGAGAAAAAAAATTGTACGTACGTGTCGAAGTGAAAATTTACTTGAACCTGATTGTTTTCTCTTATTTTCGATACGATAATTAAAAACGATTGTGATTCTATTCGCGGTTAACGCTGCATAAGTTCGAATATTATTTTTAACACATAATATAAATACCTTTATATATTGTATGCCTTCTTACTGTCGGTACAGTCGTGGAACGTGTATTCTAAATTGCAAGGAAAGGAAAAGAAGAGTTGCGAAAGAGGTATAAAGATATGGGGGATATATATTTATCGAGTGGCAATTTAGCGGAATATCTAATTTATTTTGTAGACTTTTACGAGTTTCAAGCTCTACGGACTTATTATTGTCATTCTCATTATCATTATTATACTTTGAATACTTTTTTTCTTTTGTATGTTTTACCTATTTGCGTTGATTCGATTCGCTCGAATTTACAGTTACGTGTTATATATTGCCTTTTTAAGTGCGTGAGTTACTTGGAGAGGGAGAGGAGATATACTTGTGCCTGGCGTGTGCCATAATGGACGAAGAATCGGCTGCATTCTAAACAAAGAGAAACGATTAAAGAAACGCGACAGCATAGGCGTGTAGAAAGGAAATGGTTGCACGTTTTTCATCGAACCCTGTTTCGTATGCTCCTGATACATTGAACGTTTTTGAACATTGAAATTGATCGACGCCAACATTGTACCGAAAAAGAGAAAGAAGAAATTGTCAAAACTGGACGACAATCGCCACTTGGAAATTAACCTAAAAAAAGAAAAAAAAAATGATCGCAACAGCCAATGTTTTGTGCCAAATTTTGGAACCGTTAAATTGTTCATCGATTAACAAGAAATTGTTTGCTTCATTCCGAAATTATTGTTGAAAATTATACTCGTGGAAATTTGTAATTCGTCAGAAATTCGACAGTCGTTTAAAAATAGAAAAATTGGAAGAATGACTAACTGGCGATAATTATCCAGTAATGAGATTCCGTTTCGCAAGATGCCAGACGGAAACAAGGCCGTAAAGGGACATCGATGGTTTTCTCTTTCCGTTCTCGTACGAATACCGTTCGCCTTAATTGTAACGTTTCTAGACACTTTAGACGGATGCTCAATGCACGATTCCATTTATTCCTAGAATATGTATAACCATATATAGCAGCTCTTGATTTGTACTTGTTGAACGCGTGCTAGCTGTCGTTCGACGACGACGAATCGAGAATTTGTGGCTGTACTTTTTGGAATCTGATGTCATCTACTTCGAATCGTTGATCAGTATTGAATGCTTTCAAGCAGTAATGGGCCAAGTCGAATCGATCCATTTTTTTTCTTTGTAAATACTTTCACTCTCAGAATAAACAGAAGATTTATTTATTTGGAGAAATATGCGAGATATTTCTTTTTTATTCTCTTTTTTTGTTTGTTTGTTATTTAGTCAGATTCGCTGTTAACAGCAGATGTTTGTTATGTTGAACTTTGTCCACTACAGTCAATACTATTTCTCTCCCTTCTGTAAAATCTTTAAATGGTTAAGTTTGTTAGAGCAGACTGTATATTTGTTACAATATGTTGTCCAATATCTTATTGATCTATTGTAAATTTCAACCAATAATCCGTGTATTTCCATTCCTCGGTAAACTTGATGTTAAGCATTTGTAACGCGGTCGAATGTTACCGTAACGTCACAATTATGTTAAGTTATTAATTTATGCTGTAAATATCGTTTACGTTTCGTGTTAACATTCTACGTTTATCCCCTGTGTAAATAATAATTGTATCGTTGCGTTGAAGATGGCACAATGTTTCACAGAACGATTGAAAAATTTTCAGTTACATCCAAACGATACTTGTTCATTCTATTATCGTTCTGTCAACCTAATACATGTACATGCGAATCAGCACTGATCGAAACCATTGATACCAATGATCCTGGACGTGTCGACGAGTGAAAATATGATCCAGGTAGTTTGACCACAGTGTTTTCTCTGCTCAATCACACACGTCGCGATCAGATTTTGAAAACGTACAGCTTTGTTATCGAATTATATCCTCTACGTGAAACAAATACGAGAAAGAAAGGAAGGGTAACATTTGTTACACCCGAAACAGACGTCTCTAGAATGCATTTAAAAGAACGCGTGCCGGTTCGTGGATTAAAAATTGAGTTGTGCGAAGAGTATCAAATGAAAAAAAAAAAAAAAACACGATAAAAAGACTAGGAACGAGAGGGAAGAGGGTAAATACCGCGAAATTCGCAAGTCACAGACAGACCAATAATTTACAACGTAATTTGTGTAGTCCGATGAGAAGAGCGGAGCGCAAAAATAAATTTATGGAAAATCGAAAACTGTTTTCAAACACTCCTCTTCAACTATCTCCTCCTTCATCGCTTGTCTGCGCCCCCTTTTTACTTCAATCTAGACGATTATCAATCGTGTGGAAAACCGCAACATCCACTTACGTTTCTACGAGCCCATTGTGCTAATTACAACGATACGTGCTAACGCGATAAGATAATAGTTCGCTAGTGTTTCCTGTGTATCGAATAATTACGCTTAATTTCAATTTGACGTACGTATTTCTTTTTTTTCCAATTCATACGATATATAAATCAATTTGTTTCCTCTGCGAAGTGAATTAGGAATTTAATCTTTCTGCATTTAATTGACTCGTGGCTATTGAATCAGCGTGGAATTGACTCTTTCGACTTCCAACGAAATTCACATTTGAGGATACACAAAAACATCTCCGTTTCGAAACTACGTTGTTTTCTTCTTACATAAAAACTTGATTCCAATATTTTCCCCTTTCTCACATACGTATTTAAATAATAACAAAAATAGTCACACTGTTTAGTTCACAGTTGTTTGATAAATAAATAAAATGTAAGAGAAATTAATAATGACGCTAGTATGGATAACATGAATGTTAAAATGTGGATATGTAAATTTTCATTAATTCCTTCGAACATTAGTATTTGAAGTTCATTTGTCGCAATTTTATACAGAGTAAAGGTATTTCAAAAAAAGTTGATTATTTCCTTTTTAATGGGCCAAAAAGTTTGTTCCGAGATCTTCAGGAATAATTATTAGAAAAATTGAAGATTCTGTACGTGGTGTTCGCACGTGCCGTAGTGGGGACTTTGCGGTCACACCGGAGGAAGCTGCGAGTCGTATAAAAAGACAGGAACACTCTGTTAGCGCCAGTACAGTGAGAGTATAAGTTGATTGTTAATCTGAACCGGTTCGTCTACGATAGTATCTTGGATTGAAGTATCGTTTCTAAATTTTCGATTAAATTTCTACAGTTCAATTGTTTTCCACTACAGTGCCTGTTACTTGCGTACGGTTCTGTTGAAACCTGAAGAACAAGGAGAAACTACACAGAAAATGTGAGTTCAAGTCGTCTTTCTTCTTTCTTGAAAAAAATTGCGAAATTTACATTATTCTTACACCAACGTTCTTCGATTCAATTGCAACGACAACACGATGTTTCCTTTAAAAATTTAATTCGTGCTATACTACATTTAGAAAGTACGAAATTAAAATTTCAATTTTAAAAGCTCAACGGCTAAAATACAGTAATTTCGGTGAAACGTTCATATCGCTATCGAAATACGTGTTTCCTGTTTAAAAAAAAAGAAGGAATCCCCAGAAAAATCGGGTACAGTAATCTTGCGAAATTAATGGCTACGCAGATTAGTAATATCAGTTTTATGAAGACGATATGCATTACAGCTGACTTTTTAACGGACCAAAAGATTTGACAATTTCGAGGAATTGTTATTTGAAGAATTAACGCTTCTATACGTGTAAAACTACGTGTATAATATTATACCAGCAAGGTGTTGCTCGAAATTCACAAAAATGGAAAGTAAACTGATCGCGCTCGTTGAGTAATGCTATTCGAAAAATGGGATTACGTCGAAGAGGTCGGTGAATCATTTCACGTCAGTCACCGATTCCATTCAGGGGTGGAACACCCGTTTCGTGAGGCTATCCACGTTCTACGTTCGATCCCGGAAATTTACGCAACTGTGAGATAGATCGGTGTAAATACCGTACTGTCGTACAGCTAAAGACGTGTCTGCTATTTGGGTATAACCCGTTCTCCACGTGTTCGAGATATCTTCGGTGACTTTTCGAAACGTAAAATTGGGTAAAATTAGATTTTCCATGGAATGAGAAATTTTCTTGTGATCGAATTTATCTCGATTTTCGCAATACTTGAAGTTTTTATTTCAAAAGCACACTGTCAAAAACGTGTATCTGTAATAATGACATTCAGGCATTCGGTGATCGTTCACCAAGTGAAAAATTGACGAAAATTAATTCTTTATAATTAATTTCACGGATTTAACGAAAGTCGAATCTGGAAATAAATCGAATTTTTCAAAGTTCACGTATAAAGTGTAACGAGCAGTTTAATATACATATATCGTAAAGTTACTCTTTTATCTATGATTCTGTGAGGAAAACATAAGCAGCGTGGAATTCAGACAAATTTGAATATTAAGCATTTCGACGACGTTCAATTGTTTAACTCAAAGAATTTAACGTTTCCTTTAAGCGAGAAATTTTTTTCTTAAACGAGCACTGCTTTTGCAAATTACGATTAGCAAAGTGCCTGCGATACTTATGGTAGAAATTGAAATGTTCGTAAGAAGACGAAGAATCTCGTGAATTCATCGTCGAACATTTGTAGCCTCGATTTTCCTTATTTTAAATTACGAAATCCATGTTACAAGGCCGGAGAAATTTTTTTCACCTGAACACTCATCGCCGCTGTTGGTATGCCGTCACACGTTCCAATTATCAATACACACAGCTTGAAAGAAGTTATCGTAAAACAGAGTCCTTGTTCATTTTCGCCGTAGTTACGTGACATGAATGAAAGTAGCGTACGGGCATTCGATATCTTATGAATGAGTGCATAACTATTTCTAGTGAACGCAGTAATACTCGATTCTTTGCAACGATGAATAACAGTACGCCGAGTATCGTGTCTCTATCACTTGATTCGTTATAATTTTTAATTTGCTACTATTTATGCACTTTGACTAATTGCGTTGAAATAGTTATCGACTGCTTTATGCTCGTTTATATAAATTTATCGTTTACCGTATGAACGCTAGAAATACCGACCGGGTCAAAATTTACCCATCGGTAACTTTCCAAAAAAAAAAAAAAAAAAAAAAAAAAATTTTTATAATTCCCTCTCTTTTCTGCGTTTATGCTTCTATACTTGTATCGATACGAATCTAATTTTTCAATCACATTTTAGTCGTTATAAAAATTTATACTTTTGGAAAGTCTTTAATGGGTCATTTTTGACCCGACCGGTCGTTCTACCATTAAAGCCAAAAGTATTAATATAATTATGAAAGTAGTCGACAAATTATCTCACATAATCTAACACCATGCTATTTTTTAATACTCTCACAAACCCAATGTCGTAATTTTATTTGTCGTATTTCACAATTTCATCCCCAAACTTTCCATCGTCGAACAATCAGAATTTCCTGATTGAAACTCTGTTCAACAGCTCGGACAACCTCGATTAATCCGTGAAAATGTTCGAAGAGCCACTGGTCGTCGAGAATGTACACATGTACGAAAAAGAAAACGCGAAAGTGCATCATACGATCAATTACGAGCTGGTGCACCTTGATCCACCAGCGGCAGTTCTTCGACGAGGTCAGACTTTCAACGTTGCTCTGAGATTCAACCGAGAGTACGTGGACGACACGGATATCGTTCGACTGCTGTTCAGCTTCGGTCCGAATCCGAATGTTCTGAAAGGAACCAGAGGTGTGAACACTGTCACCAATAGAGACAGTTACCTGACCGATTTGGAAGCATGGGGTGTGCGTATGGTGGGCCTCAGCGGAATGGATCTGTCCGTGGAAGTGAGAAGTCCCGTGGACAGCCCTGTTGGATTATGGCAATTGAACGTCGAGACTACCACTGTGGCGAGAAAGAAACAGGCGCCGAGGACTTACAACTACGACAAGGACATTTATCTGCTGTTCAATCCATGGTTGAAAGGTACAGTGATTTTGCATATTGGATGCTTTTGTGATTAATCGAAGTTCGGTATTAGTTAGGGCAGTGATGGCGAACCTGTGACACGCGTGTCACAGGTGACACGCATCGACTTAACCCTAGAGCGGTCTTCGGGTCTTTTTTGACCCACCGCCTTTTTATATTTTTAATCATTTTTACTCTTATCAAGTTTACGTTCCTTAACATTATTTTAAACGTTTATTGTCTAGGTTCTTATGTCGCGTTGGAAACAAAAGTTGTTTCACGTAAGGTCTTAGGTCCTTTTTCACCCAAACGTCTTAAGTGTACAGTCAAAACGAAGAACGCAGTAGGGTTAAGTCACCTCACAGGCGAAACCGAGAAGATCACAGATAATCATCGCACAAACAACAACGAAAGACAACGGTGTCTATCTTCTATCAACGAGGTTCAGAATCGATAATTCGGAGCTGAACCATAGCGAGTCCGTGATCGTACAATATTCTAGATGTGACACGGCACCTGAGTTAAGCTAGGTTTTTTCCCAATTTTGACACACCGAGCTCAAAAGGTTCGCCATCGTCGAGTTAGGGGAAAGTGGGGTAACTTTGGCTGCGTAAGCGAGAAATGCTGTAAAATTTGAACAAGTTACACGTTTGTTAGTTTTTTTATATTAATTGGTAGCTTGAAGTCTCTAGTTTGTGTTAGTATGACTGAGAAAGGTTATTTCACTTTCTTTGTAAAAGAGATGAGAAAATTGTTAAATTATTATTATTATTGATTGAATATTAGGTGAATTTTATTTGTCAAGTATCGTCATATCGGTTGAATTTTATTTGTCAAGTATCGTCGTATCGGTCGAATTTGATTTCTTAAGTATCGTCAGTCACGAATGTGACATTTAACGTGTCGATAAAGCGCAAGGGATGAGAAAAGAAACTTTCTTTCGTTTCCAGAGGATTTAGTGTACATGGAGGATGAACAGCTGTTGGACGAGTATGTTTTGAACGACGTTGGAAAAATATGGGTTGGTCCATGGGGTAGTTCGCGTGGCAGAGAATGGGTATTCGGCCAGTTCGACGCCGTAGTACTTCCGGCCATTCAATTAATGCTCGAAAGATCTGGCATTAAGGCTATTTCCAGAGGCGACCCGGTGAAAATGTGCCGGGCTATTTCGAGAATTGTAAGTTTATTGTTCCATTTGGCGTTAAATCAGCAATCGAAACTTTTCTGCTTTACTGAAAAAGTAAATTAACTTCTAATTCAGAATAATCTCTTATCAACCGTTGAAATAAAAGAAAGAATTCACTTTTATTAACACGGCTTGGAAAGAACGTCATTTCTATACGAACAGCTTTCAGAAACTGTTTTCTGGACACCCAAAAAGAGAAAGCTGAGGTAGCTGTTTACACCTACGAACTGTTTATGCTATTGCATCGCAGCGTAGAGTATCTTCGCTCTAAGACGAACTGCAGACACGTCTGGTGGTCCTCCTAGTGTCTTTATTTAGAAGAAAAGCCTTGAAACATTTTCGTTCTCAGGCGATATATTTTATTCAGTGTCCTTCAGAAGTAATCCAACATTAACGAAGCTTTACGATGCTACTTGAGCTATTTTCCTCAAGCAAAGTCCTTAAAATTTTTACCAGCGTTTAACACGCGCATTGCCGCCAGAAAATGGACAACACGCTCTAGAACGCATATGCTGCGTCGACGGCAGCAACAAACCTGTCGATCAACCTTAAAATTTCAAACACTTTCTCCAGATAAACTCGAACGACGACAGAGGCGTTATTACCGGACGTTGGGACGGAGACTACGCCGATGGTACCGCTCCAGCCACGTGGACCGGAAGTGTGCCCATTTTGGAGGAATTCTTGGAAACCGGCGAATCGGTGAAATACGGGCAATGCTGGGTGTTCGCCGGTGCTGTGACCACAGTCTGTCGAGCCCTTGGAATTCCATCGAGGGTGGTTTCGAACCTGGTATCGGCCCACGACGCGAACGCCTCGTTATCTGTTGACCGTTATTACAACACCGAAAACGAGGAACTCGAGTACGATCCTAACAATTTGAACGGCGAAGATTCCATCTGGAATTATCACGTTTGGAACGACGTGTGGATGGCAAGACCGGATCTGCCGAAAGGTTACGGTGGCTGGCAGGCGATCGATGCAACTCCGCAGGAAACTTCAGACGGTGTTTATCAGTGCGGTCCATCTTCCGTCGAGGCGATTCGACAGGGAGCCGTTGGGTATAATTACGACGTGACGTTCATGATCGCCTCCGTGAATGCTGATCTGATGAGGTGGAAGGAAGATCCGGAGACCGAGCTTGGATACTCGAAGATTGATTGCAACAAGTATCAGTGAGTATTCTTGACGATGGTGCCCAGGTGGGCCAAATTGTAAATTCCAAAATATTTGCCGGGCCATTAAGATAATTACGGCCATTGGTCGTTAAGACAATAAAATATATACAATCTACGTAATAACAAGATATATTACGTATAAAATTTAGTATTTTTTTAACGGAACAATTTTTAATTATGACACGATAAAATTTAACTTATTTGTAAAAATCTAAGTTATCTCTGTAAATTCAAGATGGCGGCTGATCTGCCATCGCGGGCCGCACTTTGGGAACCCCTGGTGTACAGGATAAATTTAGAGAAGAGTGGATCTTTCGGGTCAAATTGGAATTTTTTTGTTGTGTATTCTGTTGTACAGTTGTCAATTTTTATTTGGCGACTGTAGTGGAAAGAGTAGTGAATTTTTGGAATATTTTCGGTTTTATGAATTATCGTAGTGTAAAGTGAATATTGGTATAGATCGGCTATAGTATCGGTGAATATTCTTGATGGTGTGTAGGATAAATTTAAAGAGTGAAAATTTCGGACTAGATTGGAATTTTTTGAATTACTGTATATTGTGTTGTACAGTTGTCAATTTTCATTTGGCGACTGTAGCGTAAGGTGAATAATTGCAGATTAACTACAGTATCGGTGAGAGTATTCTTGCTGATGAATAGAATAAATGTAGAAAAAAACAGAAATTTTCGGTTAGATTTGAATTTTTTGAATATTTTACGTTTCATTAGGTTTTATGAATTACTGTATATTGTACTGCACAGTTGTCAATTTTTATTTGAGTATCGGTGAGTATTTTTGATTGTGTACAAGGCGGATTTAAAGAAACACGTAAAACTGAATTAATCGATGAAACAATCGATTGAACAATTTGTCAATATATCGCATAGTTCGACCGGCAAGTCGCATTCTTAACGTTACAAGGAACTGATTGTCGGCAGAAAGAAGCATTAACTTCTCGTCATATGAAATCATTATCGCTGGCGCAGGAATCGTTAATTGCAGAATAAACAACACCGTAGCTCGCTAGTTTCAATTTTCTTTCCGAGTCGTCCGCTCGTTGAAATTCGAGATTCCAATGGTAATCCTGGCCTTGATGCCACGAAAAGAAACACTACCGTATATTATCAGTTTATATAATCCGAACATAAGCGATGACCAAGCGTTTATGTAAAAGTTAAAAGTGTTTGACATGTATAATTACCTCGGTGTTTATTGAATTATTACTTTTTTATTAACTGATAACATGTTGAATTTACTGATTTTCCGTAGCATTGGTCGCATGATCTTGACGAAAGCACCTTGGATTTTTGATCCCAACGGCGACAGAGACAGAGAGGATATCACTTTGTTGTATAAAGCGAAAGAAGGTAAATACGAATTAATTAAATATCAGTGTTCGAATGTTTTCGTATATTTTATTATCTTTGTATACGATTTTATTGTTTGAATTGCTTATAGTTATCTATTGTAAATGAAACTTTTTCGATCGGAGTATTAAATTTTGTAACTTATTTCTCTTATTTTTTTTCCTATGCAGTATCATTATTTCGTAATTTTTTATCCAGCTGCATTTTCAGTGACTAATACTTGTCTTTCACTCTTTTCTTTCAATCGAGTAGATTGCATGACGTGTAGTGTGGTAAGGGTCAATAAGTGTGAATGTGAGGAACAGATGTGTGTTTTTAAATAGAGTTGATTTGAAAGACAGTTATTGTTGTTAATCTTTGTAAATACTATATTTAGTTAAATCTTTAAAGCCATTGAACCTTTTGAACTCTTGTGACAGAACTCGTTGAACTTTAGATTCAGCGAAGCCTATCAATTCTAAATTGGTTTTAATCGTCTCAATTTCACAAAAATATTTCGTTGAATTTTTCATTTATTTGTCAAGCTTTACTTGTGTTTTTAAATGTTCCAAGTATTTTTGTTGATTATTTTAAGTGTTCTAAATTGTAAATATTGCGAATTCCAAATATCTCAAGTATGCCAAATTCTAAATATTCTAATTTCCAAATATTCCAAATTCTAAATCTTCCAAATTCCAAATACTCCGAAATCTAAATATTCCAAATTCCAAATACTCCGAATTCCAAATATTCCAAATTTGAAATATTCCAAAATCTAAATATTCCAAATTCCAAATATTCCAAATTCCAAACACTCCAAATTCCAAACATTTCAAATTCTAAATTCTCCAAATTCCAAACACTCCAAATTCCAAACATTTCAAATTCTAAATACTCCAAATTCCAAATATTCCAAATTCCAAATACTCCAAATTCCAAATATTCCAAATTTCAAATACTCCAAATTCCAAATTCCAAATATTTCAAATTCTAAATATTCCAAATTCCAAATACTCCGAATTCCAAATATTCCAAATTTTAAATGTTCCAAATTCCAAATGTTCCAAATTCCAAAGATTCCTAATTGCAAAATTAAAAATTCCAAATATTCCAGATTCCAAAAACACCAAATTCTAAAGATTCCCAGTTCCAAAGTTTAAAATTCGTAAAATACCCAAATCTTCAAACATTTCTCATCGCATCTATTCAACGCTCATCATCTCTATTCCAGGAACCGAAGCCGAACGTCTGACGCTCTACAGAGCCGTTCGCAACACGGAAGTCGCCAAGAGATTTTACTCGATGCCATCAGGAGCGAAAGAAGACGTCGAGTTCGATCTCGTGGACCTTGATCGTGTGAACATCGGCCAACCGTTCGCAGTGACAGTACACATGAAAAATAAATCCAACCAGCTACGAACCATCCAAGCCATCTTATCCGCTGGTAGCGTGTATTACACTGGTGTCAAGGCGAACCTGATAAAGAGAGCTTCCGGTGACTTCGTTCTCCAGCCCAATGCAAGTAAGTTTATCGATTTCCATTCGAAACCAGTTAGGTAATCGATTCACCAAACGGATGTAATTTTCATACACATTGTATCCTCGTCGATCCCCCGTCGATAACATTTACAAACGATATCTGATTAACGCCAGTAGGTTCAACAGGATCATTAATGTCCATTGTTGTGTCAAGTTTGATTTATGATAGTGATCTGTTACAGTGGATTAATTGTATTGTGTTCGTTTCTTTATTTATTCTTCGTTTTAGAATGTGGCAAGCTTAAAGGAAGAGCGATGGATATTTAAACAGTGTTCACTTTTTTGAATAACTATTGCCACTTTAAAATCAGCTTGTTGATTTCAAATAAAAATAGTTCCCTATAATTTAGAAAGAAAATTCCGAATGGATTTTAAATAAAAAGATTTTCAGTCATTTTAGATCATTTTTAGCGATCTCAAGTATCCTAACTTCGTCGAATATCCAACTGAATATTAATTGTGCCTATTTCTTCGATAACCATTCTTATACAGTTTCTGTAACACCGGATATCGTTATTTCCAATTTCCAAATAGACTCTATTCAAACTCAATTTATACGCATTCCAGCTGATTTATTCCGATCACGTCCAATTTATTCCCAGGCGAACAGTTGAGGCTCACGGTCACGGTGGACGATTATTTGGACAAGCTGGTAGAGTACTGTATTATGAAACTGTACTGCATTGCCACGGTCAAGGAGACTAGACAGACATGGGCCGACGAGGACGATTTCCAAGTCTTGAAACCGAACATCGAGGTCAAGGTAGGCTGATCGAATGAAACTATGTACATATTACTGCGGAACAAGTTGAACTGCAATTTAGCAAAGTTGCATACAAATTTTCAGAAAAAAGTAAGCAATTTTAAGAACTTTCTTACTGTGGCGACCGCCACAGGGGGCCACGAACTTAGGCCTGGCGGCTCTTGGCCCTCGAGGCGAAGAACCGAGAGATGATTTTCCAAACATTTCCGAGTTTCTTCGTCCTCGAGGACAAGAGTATTGCCTCGGCAATGCAGGCCCGCGCCTCCACTTCCCAGGGAAAGGGGGCTACTTAGGGGAGCCCCGAAAAAGGCACGAGGCCTTTTGTCGTAGACTCGCGTCGCCTACACTTGAAAATTAGGTTAATCGTTATCGGATTCGAGTAAATATATTTTTATTAAACAACTTGCCCGAGTAACTACTTTACACGTCACTTCCAAATTACAATTTATATTAATCGAAATGGGGTAAATTGCTATTGATCTCTGCAACATCGTTTCGCAGCAGATTCAATATTGGTGTAAATTGACAAGTGATTCCAAATTTTTTGCCGGTAGCGTATACCAATGAAAAAGTTCCACAAATTCCTCTGTGTGAATTTTAAAGTTGCCAACTAATCGGAATTTGCTTATTCTGTTCAGTAATAATAATCGATTTTGGTGATTTTATCGAGTTACAAATTCATCTTAGGCATCGCATGCAATGGAATTCGTTTCAATAATTTTACCCATTGATATTCATTAGTTGCGTTCAAGTTTGAAGAATTGAGCAATTGATCGAAATTTTTCGAGTAAGTTTTCTATATCTTGATGTATCGATATTCTCAATATTTCATTTCGTACTTGTTAAGGCTTCGTTAGAACTAGTTTATGATACGGTCGCCTATAGACGCTATTTTTGAAAAGGCAAAGTTTTACCCGTACCTGAATAGGTGGTACGTGACCTTAGCATTAGCTAAATTAATTTTCTGTCTCCCTCAATAGCAATTACCGTGTCATAAACTTTAGGGAACCCAAGAGTCGGACGGCCACGGTGACCCGATCAACGGTACCGCGCTGACGTCACCTTGGGCCTTTCCCCGTAGGGGTGAGAAGTCGCTCATCACCCCCGCTCCGAATCCTTCCCGCTACCTTTCCACAAATTCCATCCACCAATTGAATATTCGCATTTTTGTCACCCCGTTTTCCACTTCCATTCCCCTGTCAACCAATCAGTGCCATCACCGATACCTTAAAAACCACGCGTAAACGTGTCTTAGAATAGTTCAGAATAGTCAATAGTAAAGGGAACACCAGGCGAAGAATAATATAATTCACATAGTCTCTTATACGTAAGCACAGTACTAAATAAATTGTCGCACTTGAGAAAAATTAATAGAACAATGCTTGAGAGTGAAATTTTTCAAATTTAACACCTCAGTTGTTACAAGCTGTTGCGATCTACTCGATCGCTGTAGCCGCAATTATTTTTGTTTGAGAAATAATGTCGTGAGAAAATTTACAATCGCAACATTTCGCTCTCTAATTCGACGAAAATGAACAATTTCTCAGATCGACGGCGACCCAACCGTAGGAAGACCGTCAACAATCACTCTGCGTTTCAAGAATCCCTTGAGAAGACCTCTGACAGAATGCAAGTTCAATTACGCGGGACCAGGATTGTCTAAGAACAAAACTTTAATGTTCAGAGACGTCGAACCGGAAGAAGATGTCTACGTGGAGCATCAACTGATCCCTCAAAAGGGTGGCGCACAGAAAATCATCGCCACTTTCACTTCCAAACAACTGCTGGACATAACTGGATCCGCTGCTATTGATGTTCTCGATGAGGACGAATAAAATTCATTTAATTCGACCTATTTCGCCGTTTTCATTTCTATTAAATACCAATGTTATTAGTGAATATATTATGTATATCCCCATAATCCCACTTTCTCTAACACAATCGTAGAAATAGGACAGACGTATTGTCATTATCGACTCTGAAAGTACTTGCTCCTTTTGTAAAAATACACTTTTTGCACTTATCTTACAATAAATAATTTATTTTTTGATAAATAACTGTATCTCTTCATTTATCCCGATGTTCAAGCCATTTCCTCGATTGAACGAAAGGAATATTAATTTTTCTAATTTAAAAGAAAATGTTATAAACAATTTCTGATTTTTTTCATATTATTTCACAGGAAACACTAATTGTTCTGTAATTAAAGTGCTTACACATGAATGAGAAAATTAATTTTACTATCTACATTATTAGTAACGTTGAATCAGTTGATCATACGGATGACGAGGATAGCAATAACGAAGAGAGAGAAGGAAAGGAATAGCGATAAACAAGGATAGCACTAGAGAAATGAGTTAGACAAGGAAAGGTATAGGGATAGACAAGGACAGAGAATTTTCAGTTCTGGAGCAACGCCATCTCGTGTTTGGATCCGCGAACTAACCACTCGTTACTCGGATAACAGAATATAAACAGAGGTATTAGACAAGGAAAGCACTAGTGTGCGACAAGGACAGAGAGAGAACGTTTCCTATTGGCTGGCGGGCCGGTAGACTCTATCTTGCTGGGCCTCAATCAAGTCGGCCTGTGAAAAATCATTAATAACTCAATAATTACGATTATTTTGTGAACTTTTAGAATTGAAGAATGAAATCTGGACCTTTAGCAACTTTCTCATATAGTTTTTAGTGCTCCGAACCCTTCCAATAATTAGGTATTAATAATTTTAGTACGAGATGTTGGGAACGATACCGCGTACCGTCACGTAGCTTTAAGGTTTTTCAATAATTTCACAACTTTCTACTAAATTCTCGTGCAACTAACTATACGCATCTGAAAGGCAACTCTTTTGGCTACATTCTCGTATAATTTTCATTAACATATCCCTTTTGGTTTGATAGTTATTTAACATTCCTTGGGAGAGTATTACATTCGTCGCATTTAATCGTAACACAGTTTCGTTATTTCAAAAGACATGAGTAATTAATTATGCACTTTAAGGCATGCAGAATCTAGAATGGACTTTCATCTATATTCTTCAATAATTTTAGTAGCGATAAGTGATGTGATTTAGTAGATATTAGCAATTGTTTATAACATTTGATTATACTGGCCTACGACGAGTAGTGGACTCTCTCATGTAATGTTTAATAACTCTTAAACTAAACCGATTACGTTAATAAAAATTACAAAAGAATGTAGCTATAGGAGTTGTCTTTCAGACGCATATAGTTATTTGCACGAGAATTTAGTAGAAAGTTGTGAAATTATTGAAAAACCGTAAAGCTACTTGACGGTACGCGGTATCGTTCTCGACATCCCGTACTAAAATTATTAATAACTAATTAGTGGAAGGGTTCGGAGCACTAAAAACTATATGAGAAAGTTGCTAAAGGTCCAAACTCCATTCTTCAATTCTAAAAGTTCACAAATTCTTCGTAAATAATGAGTTACTAAATATTATTTGGGTGAGTACTACACTCGTCGCATTCAAGCGTAACGGATTTCTGTCATTTTCACGAATATGCATGATTAATTTTGTACTTTCAAGCATGTAGAATATAGTATAGACCTTTG